TATATCCATTTTGATATTTTAGACCAATTAGAAGATAAATATAGGAACTATATTATACACAACTATACTTGACAATTTTTTGAACTGGATTTATTCGAGAACGAAGCATCGAATAAAATACTTTACATATGTATATAATTATAAACAGAAATAATAATAATAATAGTAATCTTCTCTTGGAAATCATGATCACAATTTGAGAAACAACAATAGTGCATTTATTTTTCAGATACTTGTAACACCAATATAAATAAAATATTAGACGTATAATTATAAATGAAAATAATAATAATAACGATAATTCTCATTTGTTCCTCGGGAAACAAGCGTAGTGTATACTCGAAGACTGGCAAACTTAACAAACGAAATAAAAAGAAGGAAAAAAAGGAAGTGCGAGCACAACGTGTCATCCTTAACTCATTAAATAAAAAAGAAAAAAAGGGTAAAAAAAATCAAAAGGGAAATCAAGCAACCGTGACAAGTTCACGATCCACGACCAGTTCGAGAGGGATCGGCACGGTCCAATCAGAGCCAATCGTGGAATCACATCGTCCCCCGGCAAATGAGATGATAATTGATTCGTCGTGCTCGACGCACGTTCTTCCTCCGCCGGTTTCGCTCAATTTCTTCGTTCGGAAGCACCGTACGAGAAAAGATCCGCTATTTCTGTCCGGCTATTAACGAGCCTTAATTCGCGGGATTAGTTCGAGTCGAGCACGTTCCAACCGTGAAACCATAAAGCTAACTGCCATGACGGCCGTGGATGCGCCAGTCACCTGGCTCGCTTTTTCCACGACTTTAAGCGTTTCTCTTCTTCTTGCTCGCCGCCCCGTTCACGGTTTACAGCCACGGTTATTTCCGGATCGCTGCTGTTTCCAGTTGTGCTGTTCCTCGTGAAAAGAACGTGTTCATATTCGCTGTGGACGAGCCGCGAATTACGAGAGATCGAAGAAAAGGGTCGAAGGTGTTGAAGAGGATGGTTGAAGGATCGCGTGGTTATTTAGGGAGGGAATGTCGTGGGGACTTGTTGGATAGATGGATAGAGATGTTGATGGAATTGAATGCTTAGGATTGGAGGAAGACGGAGAAGAAAAGGGGAGGTTCGAACGAGAGAGGGAGATTTTTTTTTTTAGGATGTTCCATTAACGAGTTTTTGGAATTCTTTTAAAACCGAATTCTTTTCCCTTTAACAATATATATTTAGAAATTTTGTAAAATATATATTATTCACAAAATATTTGTTTCTCTACAACAGAAAGCGATAATATGAATGCAAAGATAAACTGTTGAAAAGTTGGAATTAAATAATGAATTCAAATTTCATACCGATTTCTTTTCTTCAAATTCGAACGAGCTTCGAACGATGTTTTGTGAGCTGAAAATCTTTTTTTAAAAATCCATTTCCAGAAAAAGATCTTAGTTCACGGTAGCCAACGTAATCAAGGCCCGTACAACAGCGACGGAAAAACAAATGCACGCGTTTAAAGCCGTCAAGAACGACTATTTTTACACCGTTTCCCTTCGACGAGACCAAGCAATCTCCCCGCAAAACCACATAAACATTCCTCTCTCAAAGGCTTCGCAGTCCAATTTCACATACCTAAACTCCAATTTCTACCAGGATACATATACAACAATATTTTTCTTATATTTTTAACTCAAAATTCTCCCTTCGTTTATTTAATTTTTTTTTTTTTTTTTAACGTTAATATCAATCTTTATATTATGGATGGATCACGAGAATTCTCAAGTTTTCATTGTTATCCTTAAAAATATTTATATGAAAACATACTACTGGTTAAATTTAAGAGAAAACTATTGATTCGTGATGTGTTTGATTTTATATAAAATGAAAAAAAAAAAAAGAAAAATAATCAGTGAAAATATTCATAATTATTTATATACATTCTTTCTGAAGATGTAGTAGAAAAAATGGCATGAAAGAAATATTTTTTCGAATAAGATGTAAAAAAAATTAAAAGATTATTCTATTTTTAATTGCAAAGATTAACTACTTAATATTATTAATTTTTTTTTTATAAATTGATTAAATTGAATAGCAGATTTATGAAAGAGATAGTATAAAACAAAATAGTATTAATTATTATGTTTCAATATTTTTTCTTTTTAATAAACTCTTGCAAAAGTGGGCAGGATATTTTTAAAATTTGTTTATTATTTTATTTTAGATATATAATTAACTTGGATCAATCCAAAAACTTGGATAGCATTTTTTTATTTAAATTTTCTTCTATCATCAATATTTGGTTTTAAATATTAACAAATATAATTTAACTATGTTAAAAGATTTTGTAATTGATCTTATTGAACTTTCTTCCTTTTATTATATCGTTTATTGGTTCTGGTATTTTATTTACATTATCGATCATTTTCTATGTGACAAATTTAAACTAAAAAAAAAAAAAAAAAAGGAAAAACAAAAGATTCAGAATCGAAAAAAAAAAAAAAAAAATGACATACAATAGATTCAGAATCGTAAATAATAAAAGAAAAATTATAAAAGTGATGTCTCTTTCACAAATTTGGTAATTAAATGGAAAACCTAATCAATAATTAGTATAATATAAATGAAAGACATTAATTTAACAATTTAATAACAAATATCTTTTTACATATAAAAAAGAAACTAAACGCTTTGAGAAACTACGAAAGATTTTATTTTTCATTTCGAAAAAATTCAATCAATATTATCACAATATACGACAACGACTTATAACTGAATTTTTCATCTGCAAAAAACTTAAAAACGCTCCTTTCGTGTTCCCTCCTCTTGAACTATTGCCTCTTAAACGTTTCTGAGACTATAAATTATTCAATTATTCAACTTCACCTCTTCAAACGTTCAATTTTACAAATTGCGAAATATCCGAAAAGAGAAGAAGTCCCGTCCATGTACTTACATACTCGTGGAATCTCTTTTCATTAGATTCTGCTGAAGTGGGCGGACAACGGCCGCGTGTTGCTCCTCATTGCACAAGGGAGACAGTAAATCACGCGATGATCTCATCAGGGCATTAAGATATTGCGGGACAGAGAGAAAGGGGGGGAACGGAGAGAAAGAGAGACGAGGAAAATGCGCATGGAAGTTACACAGGAGACGCGATAAACAAGCGACCGTGCTACCGTTGCACATGTAATAAATTCCGTGGGAGTCTGGCTCACCAACCTTTCTTCCGACACGTGACACGTTTAAGCGTTCCGTGTCCAGACTGCAAGCAACGAGCAACGCCCAAGCAATAGCTCAGGGTTATCGTTTTTCACTGTAAATCGACTCACTGGCCGACTCACTCACGATGGGCGAGAACTTTAAATCGTCCCTTGGAAACCAACGATCCTCCAAGGAGGGAAAAGGAGGGAGAAAACGAATTGCCGGATTCTGCAAAATGATCCGTGGTGGTCTCCCCATCCTTCTCCTTATCTATTGTATATATCTAAATCCTCTTGAGTGGATTTTTGTTTAAGGGAAGAAGGAGAATTCGATTGTGCAACGATTTGGAAAGTCTTTTACATGGTACGTGTAAGGCCGGTCATCTTGTACTCTCGCTTTCACGTGAGTTTGCTCACGACAAACAGCCACGTTGGTTACGGATCGGGGGCAGGCTTTTGTGAAACCGAAGAGATGCAAATTGGGATTGGGACTCGGTTAAGGCTAGTAAAACTCTAGGCCGATGGGCGCAGTTCGAAATTGTCTTCGCCAGTGTTGCGTTTCAAATTGCTCGATAATAAACTTGGAGGCTTTATATCCCGGCCAGGAAATAGCCAACCGTGTATGTTGAAACTTGCGAAACATTTAAAAATATTATCTTTTCGCCGCGGTAACTATAATTTCGCTTTTATTTGCACGGAACAATGTTACGCGCTCGTGTCGTATAAATTCGAGCAACGATTTCCAATACATTTTTTCTAGTTCAAATTTATTCAGTGTTCGATTTTGTACGAAACAACTTCAGTTTCTACTTCAGATATCTCGAAGACTTTTAAAAAAAAAAAAAAAGAAAAACGTGGCTTTAGAAAACGAACGAAGGAAGAAATATTTGAGAAATCTTGGCGGACAAGGCTCCTAGCATGTCCCATACGAGAAGTGGAATCTGCTCGCAGTGGACAGACCGATCGTTAATCCGCAGACGTTGTCCGAGACCGCGTTCTTTCGCAAAATGCCTCGAGTCTTCGCAGAAGGGACGAGAGTCGCATGACGAGAAATCGTTCCTCTGAATCGTCACAAGCGTAAAACAACCCTGTGCAATATCGCGAAACGTCCCACGGTGTATATCGTTTCACAACAATGGAAACACAATTTCGAATTTTCTGATAGTTAATCGATTATATATTTAATAAGGCAGGTTTATCTTAGGAAATGAACTTTCCACTCGAGAGTCGTTAGTTGTCGAATAGGAATGGGTTGTATAAATAGGAATACAAATTGGCCGGGTGCATTGGAGAAATGTCGCGTAACAGTGGTAGAACAGTGGCTATCCAGTCACGGTGCTGTTACGGTTCGTTTAAAAAGCCACGAATGACATTTACGCAGACTGCTAGCGTACCGTGACTGCGACGCTAACTCGGGCCCAACCCAAAGATTCAACGGGCTATGTAAGAGGATCTGTATTTCTCCGATCTTCTTATCTGTGCCTCATTTGTGCAACAAGGCACAACCACTTCTGCGATGAATAGTAAATATCTCTAGATCATTTAAAATGGTATTTTCTAATTTTTTTTTTTTTTAGATAATAATAGAAAATAAAGTTATAATTCATATCAATTATAAGTCAAAGTCTAATCCAATAGTAAAACTGGGGAATATAAAAAAATATATATGAGAAATTTCTCAAAAATATAATTTTCAATCCTTTGTGTAAAGTAAAGAAAATTAACATTTGTGAATCTCTTAGGGATGATGATGTTTGTGTTAAGAACTGTTGATCTAGAATCAATTAATTCTTAGAATTAAAGTTTTCTAAGAATTATTTATCTGTTTAACAATGGAGATTAAGTTAGTTAATTTTTGAAAAGAATATAAATGGAATGTGAAACAATTAATATTTCAGATATGATTAAGATATAAAAATATCATTTTGAAAATATGTTGTCAATTTAATATTAATAGGAGATAATGCATGAGATGATTTTAGACAATTATGGCTATTGAATCAATTACTAATCATTATTGTTAGGTCATAGGTGACTATACCTAACAACATAGGTTAAATTAGATTCACCTACAAGTCACCTAGAAGAAAGGATATTTAATTTTTATTCTGTATATATTCTACATGATAAACATAATTGATAACATTTATTAGATATAATAAAAAATACAAATTACAAAAATAGTTTGAAATAGTTTCAAATATAGATTGTATCCATTAAATATTGACAAACTATAAATATTGACAAAAATTTTTCATTTTAAATCATATTCTATTTAATTCTAATATTTTTTCAATATTCTAAGCTTTCAAAAATTCTGAAAAAGTTCAAAATTATTTCAATACATTTTTCATCCTCAAACGAACTCTCGAAAATACTACAAACATTTCACTATAAATTCAAAATAAAAAATTTACACCTTATTAGTCCACAAAAGCTTACCGAGAACTGTAAAACATTTTTATACACGAGTGGCTCTCGACGCGACAGAAGCAAAGCATCAGTACAATTCTGCAGACTCGAACCGTACAAAGACTCACCGACGGCAATTAAACGAGGAGGGGGGCACAGATTAACCCAAGGAAAATCAGGCAGCGGAGAGTGACAGCGGCGACTTGTTCGTTCGGGGAATTCTCATGTAAGCGAATATACGTAGGCACGATTTACGCCGACGACGTCTCCGGTACCAGACGTCATCCTGACCATAGTAGGTGGACAAGGACCTTGGCCTTCGGATCCGCGCGCACCAGCACATAAATCAGGCCGCGATCGCGCCATAGCGAGCGTTCCATCGTTCGGCCGCGAGTATTAAATCCACGGTAGCCACTGGGAAGAAATCAACGGCCATTTTCGGACATTGGACACACCGGCCGCGCTACCATCTACGGTATAGTCAGGGCGTCAGTTCGCGAAACGAATGTCATTGCTTCTGAACCTTATCCATCTTCTTCGGCATGGTCGTCGCGTCGGCCTCTTTCCATCGATGTTGTCGCGGCCCGATCCTTCCTCTTTTTTTCTTTTTTCATCGACCCTCTTTTTGCCGGGCCCTTCTTCAGGATCGGGATATACTGCATCTCGATTCTTGGCGGCGAAAATGGCGACGCTATTCATTTTTTTTTCCCTTCCCTCTTTCCTCTCTTCTCTCTTTATTCGTTTATTTTGATTTCGTTGTGAAGATAATGCCCATCTTGTGGATAATTGTTCTTTTTGAATTGTTTATAATAGGAGGAATGATGAATTGCGATGCGTTTTATAAAATGATTTTTAAATGTTGAGAATGGTGATATAATATCTTTTCTTTCGTTTTTTTTTTTTATTCGTTTCTAATCATTGGTTTCTTGACAGTGAGTTGATTTTAAATTGCTAATTAAGGGCTTTGTTTTATAAAGTGGTTTTTGGTTTTTATATTAAAGATTTTTAATGATGAAAACACAAAATATTTTTTGTAGAATTATTTTTGAGATATTGAAAATCCTTGGCAATAAAAGTAGAGTTTTGTAAGTAATCGTGTAAGTGTGTTTTTTGGTTAATAATAAGAAGGAAAATGATTTGTGAGGTGCACGTTTTATAGAGTGGTTTTGAAGATATAAAGGAATGTTGAGAGAGAAATGGATGTTTAAGATTCAAGAATGTCTGGAGAGAATCTCAAGCTTTAATACTCTGCTAATTTTATCCATGACTAGTAATATTATAATAATATTTTTATAATTCTTTCGTTACAATTACTTGAATGAACAGCTATTATAAAATACAATCTTGCAGATTATTATACATTTGAAGAAGAGAATGAATAATAATAAAATATATATAATAAATAATAATAAAATTTTTAAGAAATCATAACTCGTATTTTTAAAATATTGACTTAGATTAAAATTGATGAATATATTTAGTTTAATAAAGTAATAATTACAATTTCTTAACAATAAGTAGAATTTTAATATTTAAAGATATTTAGAGATCTTTTATGAATGAGAATTAAAACGAGAATTAAGATTAATGTAATTTATTCTAAACCATTCACACAACATTTTCCATAAATGTATAAAAATACGATCTTTAATTTTCACAAAGTAAATAATCACTCATATTCAAGACATAGTATTACACCTGCATAAGGTGCAGACGAATACAGGTGAGAGCAGAATGTGTCTTCGGAATGTGTCTTGGTAGGGTGCTGTTCAGAGATGCTTTGAATACGAAACGGTATTAAAGTTGCATACGTAATGCCAGTGAATCATTTCTGGTATGGTTCAACGGAATTCTCGATACCATTTGCAAACCAACCAAGAAAATGCTCGTGGTCAATTGTTCGAGTAAGATAAACCTTTTTTTCTCTAATTTCGATTTCTTGCTGACAATTGTCGATACAATAATAACAATTTTCGTCGGTCTCCATCCTTAGGAATCGTTTCTACCACGCGAGTGGCACGCGGTTTTTGCGATTCCATCGGGAAGATGCAAGGCACCGCGGACTTGAGCCTAGTTTGGCCATGTTCACCGCAACGCATACAAATTCCTCATGTAGACAACCTCCTCTCCTCTCCTTTCTTTCTTTTAACCATCCACTTCTTTTTCTTCTACTTCACTTCGACAACCGTGTCGCGGAAGAAGCGAAGAATCTGATCTCTGAAACCTATTACCTCGAATAATTCTCATATTTTGAATTTTTTTTGAGATACCACACTTGAATGGATTTTCAATAATCCATATTTCTCAAAGATGATTAATACAATTTTATGATTGATTCAAGTTGGCAATATTTGCAAAATTTTGTCAAAACTTCTAAAAGATTAAAGATATAAAAATATAGAAATCTTTTATATACCTTAGAGAATTCAATTAATAAATTTTATGTCAAAATCAACAATTATTCTACTTTATATGAAATATTATGGCTATATATATGATAATGATTTATATATTTATAAAAAAATTTTTTTATTAGTGGAATCATTAATAAATATTACTTTGAGATAGTGAAATAAATCCTTAAATAAAACATTCAGTATCATTTATGTTTTCTTTTTGAATGTAATTTTGTAATTATATGAGATAGAACAAGATTTTAGATTATAAAATATTTAAGTTTTAATACTCTATTATCCTGTTGTAAAAAATATTTTCAAATTATATTGAAATTGTATATAAAACATAACAAAATTTTTAAAATTGATTTTATAATTTTAAAAAAATTTTCTGTCAAAAAACAAATTACTTTATATATAATATATTATACACAATTTTTTATTAAAGTCAAAATACATATATACATAATATATTTTACATAAGAGATAGATAAATTTCTTTTTAAAATAGTATGTAAAGACATTTTTGATTGATTGTGTATCTGAATGAACATGTATCTGAATTTTCTAATAAAGAAGAATTTTATAGTAAAAAAAATATTTAAGTTATTTAGAAAATAACAAGATTATAAAACAAAAAAATATATATTTATATAATTCGTTAGTACTTGATATTATTATAAAGAAACATGAACAAACTTATCATAGAATCCTGTACTAATAAATTTAATTTTAACTTTTTTATTTTTTTACTTATCTTCTATTTGTAAAAATGACAAAAAAAAAGAAAAGAAAATTTATGCAATTACATAGTTCTTCCATAAAATCATTATGAATTAAATTCATAAGATGATTAAATTCAGACATATAGATAAGATAATTCAACATGTTATAATAAAGTGAATTAAACTGAACAAGTTACAAGTTAAATTAAATTTAAATTCTTGACGTGATCTACTTGTGGTGAGCAAGGAAATCGAGCGAAAACCTGTTTTCTTTTTGCAGACAATTCAAAGAAATTAATTGTGCAATACAGGAACATCATTAACCCTGAACTCTCGGGTTGCATATATTTAAGAGGTTCTTTGCGCGGACAGAATTAATCGGATCATAAACTCGAGTGGAACAACGAAATTATTGTACCTCATTTAAATGAAACCAATGCAATTGTTGTGACCCATGCAATGACATCATAAAGTCCAATGATTTCAAGATTTGTTTTACATTCGTGGGATTTATGTTTGTTCAAATTATTGAATTTTTTTATCAATTTTCTTTTGAAAGATAATATTATTAATTTATTAATAATATTTATTATTATTTATTAATTAATAAATTAAAATTTCAAATAATAAATAATAATTAAAAGATATGATTACAAGATTAATAATGTAGAAAAATAATTTTGTTAAAAAAAATANGTTTTTTCTTCATAAAACAAACATTTGAATTTTCTACGAATAAATAAATAAATATTTCTTTCATCTGAGAAAATTTTGTAACTTTATTATTTATCATTTTATAATCTATTAATTAATAAATTAAAATTTCAAATATTAAACAATAATTAAAAGATATGATTACAAGATTAATAATGTAGAAAAATAATTTTGTTAAAAAAAATA